TAGGAAAATCACAGGATCCGTCTTGTTTTAATGTCTGAGTTCCTTCTGTGAAGATGGTAAGAGAGGAGCCGGAGGGTAGCATCCGCCCTCCCATTTACCTAATCTTGCAGTGCTGGGATGCAAATCCAAATCTGAGATCCACACACATGTCCTATGTGACGGCTCCAGTGTCATCCTAAATGCTTGTTAACACAGATGTGTCCCTGAACAGCCCTAAAATGACTTTCTTCTTGAGGGGGTCTTTCCCAGTCCTAGCAAGCTGGAAGAATGTTCACAGGGGACTTGATGACAAGGTCCTGCTCTACCCTGGTGAGCAAAGATGCTGGCCTCAAATGCAACAAAGAGAATCCTCACTGTACCAGTTTCATGGTCATAAATTAGTCTAGGTTTTTCTTTTAAAATTGCCAAAAGAAATGCCTGGGGGTAAAAGCACTCGCCTCGTGAGCTTGACAGTCTGAGACCCATCCCCAGAACCTACATAAGAAGTTAGGTGCACCTTGATCTCAGTGTGTTTCCTGGGAGACAGGAGGCAGGGACAGAGAATGGAAGCTCGCATCCTCCTGTCTAGAGTGTGGAGAGAGGCAGAGGTAAGAGGCCCTGGCTCAAAGCAAAGTACAAAGAGAATCTGAAAGCTGACCTCTGACCTCTACATGCATACCCTGGTTCCTGTGCAACCATGCTTGCACACACAGAGACACAATGATAATAAACAAAAAATTTCTAAGGAAAGATGAGATTAATACTCATCTCTGATGGTGGTGAGGGAGAAATATTTTTACTGAATCAAGATCCTTCCAAAACATTGGCTGCAGAGAGATTTTTCTTCTTCTTCTTCTTCTTCTTCTTCTTCTTCTTCTTCTTCTTCTTCTTCGTCTTCTTTCTCTCTCTCTCTCTCTCTCTCTCTCTCTCTCTCTTTTTTTCTCTCTCTCTGTTTTGTTCTTTGAGAAAGGGTTTTTCTTTGTAGCTATGGCTGTCCTAGAACCAGCTCTTGTACACCAGGGTGGCCTTGAACTCAGAGAGATCTGCCAGCCTCTGCCTCCCAGTGCTGGGATTAAAGGTGTGCGTCACTATTGGCCAGCGAGAGATTTTTTTAAAACACTTAAAGGTGAAGAAGCTCCTTCATTATAGCATTTGATTGAGTGTAGGAAGGGGCAAACACAGAGACGGGGTGAGGGGCGGGGATTGGTGTCCTGATAGGGTGAAGGACCCAAAGAGGACTGTGATCCACAGCATTGTCACAAGACACCCAGCAGCACCCCAACACTATACTATACTATACTATACTATACTATACTATATGTCACCGTGAGACCTCTCTAGCAGGTCAGTCTTGGAATCACCATGAATGGGGAGACACCACTGAATGAAAAGGTGGAGGGAAGGGCTTCAGGACTCTCCTTGGGAGCCTGGGAAAGGACTGCAGTTAGGGCTGCCACTGTGTGGGTGACGTCACCGCCGTGGACGCTCAGAGCCCTCCCACAGCACTCTCAGCTCTCTGCTCTTCACAAACCAGCCCCTTGGAGACGCGTGTTGGCAAGCCTGCTTTTTAAGTGCCAGCATTTGGTGACAAAGAAAAACTTAGAATCATCCCTGTGAATGAGAGCGTGGTATACAGCTCTCCCGCCACATTCCTCTGGGCAGGACCTCAGGCATCTGTGGAATGCTTCTTCCCCCACTCCCCACCATTTCACAGCTGGCCAAAAGAAAACTGAGGAAGGGAAAACCAGATGCTGGAAGCTGGACTTGTGGCAGAGCCTGTAATACTAGCATTTGGAAGAGTGAGGCAGGAGGATTACTGGGAGTTCACAGCCAGCCTAGGCTACACAGAGAGACCCTGTTTGAAAACCACCCCCTGCCCCAAGAAAAAAAGAACACACATGTTTGGCTACTCTGGCCTAAGGACTAGGCCCTGAGCCTGCAGCTCACTGCAGGGACCTTGGACTGCACTGACTCAGCACCACCCTGACCGGTTCCCATGGTTCCCACACTGTGACAGTGGCAATGCTCAGAACCTCCAGAACCTCGCCATCTAGACACCAAGGACCAGAGACAATGCTCAGCCCAGACTGCACAGACCCCTTAGGGAAACAGGCCCTGTCGAAGACAGGCCTGGCACAACCGGAAAAACCGGCTCTGAGAGGCGGGCCATCATTGCAGGTTCTGCCTCCACCAGGCTGTGGCTGGGAGCGTGGGAACAGCCTCTCCAAGAGCTGCTCCCATCACTAAAGGAAGCTGAATGATTCCCTGGCCTCTCCATGCGTTTGTTCTAGAGGACAGATAGATACAGCATGCAAGGCAGCCACAGAGGCAGTGGGGCCACGGAGTGGGACAAGGGAAGGCACCCGGAGGCTGAGCACTGGTCTAGAACATGGGAGGCCCTGGGTACCACACAGGATGCACACACACTAAATAAATAATCAAATTTTTTAGAAGAGGAGCTAAGGCGAAGGCCCAGTGGGTAAAGTCCTTGATACATGAAAGTGAGAACCATTTCGAATTTTATTATGTGGCCAACACCCTGACCCAGGGAACCATAGAAGACCTGAACCTAGGGTTGATGCCACTGCGCATAAAAATTCAAACGTACATCATGGCTGGAGAGAAAGGGACAACTAGGAAAAAGTAGTGAGTGTGCACTCATCGTGAGAACCCACGCACAACCTTGCCCATGGTTTCTAGAACTCGATTATCCAAAATAATTCCTAGACCTGCAGCAACAACAAATAATCTTCTAAATCTGGTATTACAGTGTGTGCCTGTAATCCCAGACCCTCTCAAAGAATGATACCAACCAAACAGAAACTCCTTGTTTTTAAACATGGGTAAGAATATTAAATTTTGCAATGGTTCATAAATGCTTTAATATTCCCACGTGTATTGGTTGTCTTGTGAGCCACAAGTCTCTGTTCTCTGTCCACGTTAAAAAGAAAAACCCTGTGCTACAGACTGAGACCCCTCACGGCCACCCCTGCCCCGCCCCTTGAAGCCTACAGAGAATGGGCCAGTGTGAACGGAAGTGCAACTCCTGGCCTCGACAAGCACAGGCTTCCCAAGGCCACCGTTCTTTCTGCTTTGCTGCACGTCTTCCCCACAACTGCTATGCTGTGTTGCTTTTTGGAGTCTGCTTACTATAAACTCAGTGACGTTTTAGGGAATGGCCTCAGACTCTACGGACGTGAAAGCAAGCTCCATCAAGTCCGCTCAGCATCCCAGGCCGAGGGGTTGGCTTTCAGCCCTTGTCTCCAAATGCTCTTCTGGTTTGTAGAATCGTTTGCAGCTTTTAAAATTTACCCTTCAGTTAACAGAATGACAGCCACTAAGGATAGACATTAAGAAACGAAACAAACTCGCTACAGAAAGTAGCATGAAATACTTCCTAAAAGCAATTGATATTGTCAGTGTGTATAAGAAAATCAGCATGTCTGCCAAGTACATGTGTGCATACATGTGCAAACCAACAAACACCCAAGCACGCATGTGTACACCCAGACATGTGTCCACACACATTTAAAAAGCAAGTGAGCACTTGTATATGACAAGCGAGTGGTATGGAATGAACTGGCTGGACGGTCAGCTTAGCCCCAGATCAACCACCCCATCGGTTGCCATGGAGCCCAACTCTTCTGATTTCCGCATTCTCTCCTGAAACACTTCACCTCTAACAGCCATGACCACAGACTGTGACACTGAAAACATAGATGACAAGTCATGGTTAGAGCTAGCTTTAACACTGTGGGACAGCTGATGTAGAGCCCAGTGAGTGTGAAGTGGGTTCGGCCTCTCCCTGGTTACACTGTTGTTGGGTTACTAGGTCCCTACTGGATCTAGCACCCATGCCCCAGCAGGCTGGTTGGTGCAGTAAAGACATTCCAACATATCCCAGCGCTGTGCCCTTACACAGCTGGCCCCTTGTGTAGTAGAGCATAAAGAGAAAGACAAAGACAAGGGGCCTGGCTGAAGTGAGGGAGGGAGGGGTGGCAGGAGCCTTGGGACAGCACAGACAAACCTCTGTGAGCTGTGACAGTGTTGGGAGGGAGGAGGGAGCTAAAGAGTCGTGGCAGCCAAGAGCACGTGGTGAGTGCGGGCATGCCAGAGACACGCTTTGCCTGACTTTACCTGACATTCTGTGTGAAGCTTGATCTTCCATCCTGTGGAAAGAAAGGCCTGTCCCCTTCTCTCCAGGCTGCACTGCTGATCTGTCACCTTGTGCCCACTTGGGTCACCTTTCTCTGGCCTAAAGCCAGTTTCACCTGCATTGTTTTATACCTGAGTGGAAGGAGACACTGAGCAATTCATGTTCTTCTGGAAAGCCTGCCTGCAAACTCAAGCCAGTTTCCTCTCTCACCCAGCCTCCTCACAGAGGACAATGAGGCATTGACAGCCTTGTTTACACTGAAGACAAGGCCTCCCAACACTCACCCAGGTGGTGCACAGCTGAAGCAGAGAACCAGCTTAGCCTTTATCTGAAAAGTTCCTGTAAGTGCAAAATGAGGCTGAAGAACCCGAAGAAGCTGAGAATTACACAAACTTGTGACTGAGAGCAAACAGGGCTATCTGTGGAAACCTCTCTTATCCAAACCCAGGCAGTGGTGACATCTGTCCTTGACACCTGTTTGTGGGGATGTTATTCACCTCCCATCTTAACCACACTTGCCCCAGAGGAACAGAAAGGGTCAAACAGTCGACAAAGTGTTTCAAAGGGACAGTGCTGAAATGTGATTGTCAGTCCAGGACACAAGATGTCTGATGGTGACTTTGAGTGACAGCTGCACATTCTATAATGGAGCACACAACCTGAAGGACTGCAGAGTGATGCGGTAGCTGACCTTATTTTGTCAGAGCAGAGCCTGCCCACCCGGAGTCCCCACAAAAGGGCAAAGCTGTGAGGCTTCTAAAAAATGAAAAGTTGATTTTCTTCCTTCTGACTCAAATTCTAGAAAACTACATACACAGCATTTTGGAAGAGTCTTCAGGGAATAGTCAATACAAGTTTCACTAACCTTTGCCTCTTCGTTCACGTCCCAGGTGAAGGAAACAGCATTGTACGCGATCTCTTCGATGTTCCCAATGGTGTTGAAGCTCTCCTTGTAATCGGCTATGACATTGGAAGAGAAAAAAGTCTTAGCAGAGTAGCCAGGTGGTAAAGCATACTCCTGCCCACAGTCCCTGCACTGGGAGGTAAAGACTGAGGCTCTGGAGTTCAGGGTTATCCTTAGGACCAAGTGAGACCAGTCTGGGATACATGAGACCCCAGCTCAAAACACACCATTCACATACACGCCACACACAAACACACACATACCAACAGTGATAGGAGTCTCTCGATAACACATTGTCAATGAACAAGTTTTAAATTTGCTGATTTTTCTGGCTACTTTTGTAATAAACTACAAATTTCTGCTGATACTATTCCTCCACCGCTGAAACACTGTACACACGTTCTTTTATTAAAGGAGTAAATCTTTATAAACCATGTCTTTATCTGATTTGATCATTAATTCATTTTGCTTTTTTTTCTTATCACCTTCCTACTGGCTTTCTTGACAGGTCCTCCACAGGGACTTTTTTTTTTTTTTTTTGGAAAACAAAATATTCTGTCAATCAGATGGTGTCACTAGGACTTTGGTAAAGAAACTACAGGACAGGAAAGGTCTTCATGTGCAGATAGGGCTGGGGATCAAACACAGGCCTGAACATACTAAGCACATGCTCTACCATTGAACTGTACCCCCATGCCAAAAAAAGACATTGATAAAACTAATTTTTGTACTCTAGAGAGTTGAGTGGATCACACTTGGCTGATGGTCATCACTCCAGTCTCGGGCCTATTGTCACTCCTTAGATACTATGTATTTACTCCCTTCCATCCTGCATACTATGTATCCATTCCCTTCCATCCTGCATACTATGTATCCACTCCCTTCCATCCTGCATACTATGTATCCACTCCCTTCCATCCTACATACTATGTATCCATTCCCTTCCATCCTGCATACTATGTATCCACTCCCTTCCATCCTGCATACTATGTATCCATCCCCTTCCATCCTGCATACTATGTATCCATCCCCTTCCATCCTGTATACTATGTATCCATTCCCTTCCATCCTGCATACTATGTATCCACTCCCTTCCATCCTGCATACTATGTATCCATTCCCTTCCATCCTGCATACTATGTATCCATTCCCTTCCATCCTGCATACTATGTATCCATTCCCTTCCATCCTGCATACTATGTATCCACTCCCTTCCATCCTGCATACTATGCATCCATTCCCTTCCATCCTGTTTGACTCCCTCACCAAGACAGTAGCAACCAACAGGAGATATGTGCTGTGTATTGTCATGGGCATGGTGAGCTGACATCTCTGCTCACACAGCTTAGGTGTTTATAAGCTGTGTAGTACTCAAGCCAAGGTTGTGGGTGCAATAAATACTTAAGATATATTTATACTACAGAGCTCAGCTTTAACTGGGTGTCCTGTATTTAATATGGCAGCCCTCACCACTTTATTTCCACCTATGACTACGCTGAAACTCATGGTAACCAGCAGGCATAATTTCCTATTTCCTCTCCCAGATGATTAAAATGCCTGGTACCTCAGATAGCACTGCAGGAAGAGTTCTTACTGCTAGGATCAGAATGGCTGCAGGAAAACCTAGGACTGTACTCTCCAGAATGACTCTTCAGACTCCATTAGGAGAGGCTGCTGGTCTAGCCTCAGGCTGAATTCTATTTCCCCCTCTTTCTCAGATCTCTTCTACTTTCTACCCACCCTGAGGGGCTGAAAGTGGCATCGCTGGATGTTATGTCTACGTTTCTTATATGTTTACAAGATAACATCTCCTTGCTGCATCTAGCCAGCCAGGGTTCTTATGGAGAGCTCTCGCTCATTTTCTTTGTGTCCGTTCCTATTCCTGCCTGAAGAAACCTCAAAGCAAGGCAATACCATTTTTTTGGCATAGTTTTGTTTTGTTTTGTTTCTGTAACCTAAACTGGCCTTGAACTCAAAATGCCTTCTCTGATTACTGAGTTTACAGTTCTGAGACACTAGGCCCAATCCTAGATTTTTATGTTTTAAACAAAGCACATAAACTTTTTAAAAAAATATTTATTTATTTATTATGTATACAATATTCTGTCTGTGTGTATGTCTGCAGGCCAGAAGAGGGCACCAGACCTCAATACAGATGGTTGTGAGCCACCATGTGGTTGCCGGGAATTGAACTCAGGACCTTTGGAAGAGCAGGCAATGCTCTTAACCACTGAGCCATCTCTCCAGCCCAGCACATAAACTTTTAACATGCAAGGATATATATTCAACATAGGGAAGTCAGGCAAGTATGTATATTCAACATAGGGAAGTCAGCCAAACATAAATAATTTAAAAGCAACCACAGTCTGCTGACCCACAATTAACTACCTTTATACCTATCTATGGGGCTGGAGAAATGGCTCAGGGGTTAAGAGCACTGGCTGCTCTTCCAGAGATCCTGAGTTCAATTCTCAGCAACCATGTGGTGGTTCATAACCATCTAGAGTGAGATCTGGTGCCCTCTTCTGGCATACAAGTGAACATGCAGGCAAAACATTGTATACATAAGAAAGACTTTCTTATCTAGCTCCCTTTCTCCAAAACATGCAAATATTTTTACACAGTAATGTAATAAATACTTTTTCATTGCTGGCTGTATTGTTTTGATTGGTGCATCTCTAGCATCTTCCCATACCTAAACCTTTGGTAAGATTATTGTTGGGGACCAAATACCACCATATCAGACCTTGTGGCATGACTTTATTCTTGTTTCTATCTTTGGATTTTGCTTTTCTGTTTTAGTTTTGGTTTTTTGGGGGGGTATTTTGGTTTGGTTTTGAGGGGTTTTTGGGGGGGTGGGTTTTTTATTTTGGTTTGGTTTTCTTTCAGGGGGTAGCTTTGAGACAGGGTTTCTCTGTTATAGCCCTGGCTGTCCTAGAACTCACTCTGTAGACCAGGCTGGCCTCAAACTCAGAGATCCCCCAGCCTCAGACTCCTAAGTGCTTGGATTAAAGACATGTGCCCCCACCACCCAGCTGTGATTTTATTCTCATTGGTCACCCAGTTAACAGTTAGTAGTTAACTGCACCAGTGTTTAATTTATTTTACAGCTAAATGTTATATAAATTTAATTATATTCCATTAAAGTAAATTCTCAGGGGCAGGTGGAGCCTACTGGTACAGCAAGGGCCAGAGAAAGGAGAGGTTGGATTCAACACTGTGCACCAACACAAAAGAAAATCTAAAAAGCGCATTCTCAGAAATAAGGATTCAACACTGTGCACCAACACAAAAGAAAATCTAAAAAGCACATTCTCAGAAATAAGGATTTTGCTTTGTTTTGTTTTGTTGCAACAAGTTCTCAATGGGTAGCCCTCACTGGCCTGGAACTTTTGCCTCCCAAGTGTGGCCATTAAGGATGTGTGCCACCAGTCCCAGCTATCATCTTAAGGCTCACCAATTTGGTCAAACTGTTCTAGGGAAGAACAATTTACACCCAGGGTGATTGTGCCCTTTCTTCTCAGACCGCCTCTTTCCAAGCTGATATTCAGAACCTGGTTCCTTACTTTTGGCAAGCCAACAACTTTCACACTTAGAGAGAGAAGGAGAAAACCAAATTTGAAAACTGAATTCCTTGATTCTTCAGGAAGCACCTCTGAGATTATTTGTTTGAAGGTCAGCTGTGACTAAGAAAGCCAATGCCAGTCAGAAATGCAGACAAAGCGAGGGGATTGGACCAAGCACCTAAGAGACCGTGGATTCCTACATCACAAGATTTTATTTTCCCAGTTTTAATTTCTCCCCTAAAGAGGCTGAAAAAAGGAAAAGCTGCCATACCAAGTGCAATATACAAACACTCCAGAATCTTCTTATCTTGCACTCAATCAACAGACACGATAACCAAAATGTTTACTGTGTGCCAAGAGATGTCCTCACTAGGTCTCTCATCTTATAGCTTTTTCAATAGAGAAAACAGAACACAAGTAAACACATAATATAAATAAACAAGACAATTGTCCTAAATCTGCCTGCTTTTTCAAATGAAACTTGATTTTTCTTTTTACTAATGTTTCCAGTCCATCAAAAACAGAAAATTAAGATGAACGCAGTTTTATTAATTATGGTAATTGACACACAAAAGGGCAATCACACAGCTGAGCAAGGAGCCCCAGAAGACCTGGAATCACGGGGAGGAGCAAAGGTGATGAAACCCAGCTCCGTGATGCCCTGCTGCTGGCCATAAAGCCAAAACCTCCAGGCTAAGGTTGCTGTGTTCTGGACAAGTCAGGGCAAGTGATGTGGAAATCCATAGCCACGGACATCCTTCAGGGTGTGTCGGGTGTGTCGGGGTGTGTCAGGGTGTGCCAGGGTGCCCCAGAGCAGAGTGGGTAGTCATGGATTCCCATGGCTTGGAGACTGCCTGGCCAGTGCTGCTCAGTAGGTGGGGCCACCAGAGGCAGTAGAGGCCTTTGGTGAGGTGCAGGCCACTGCTAGAGATTTTCATTCCATGAGCATGGAGTGTGGCCAGGACAGCATCTCTGCCAGCTCCCAGACCATCTCGTATGGCTCCTTTGCTGCCCACTTTCTCCACACAAGGAGTCGTGGTTCTGTGGCAGAACAGTTGGCTCCTTTAGGCACTTTTGGTTCGTGCCTCACATGGTCTAAGAAAACACTTTAGTCTTCACTTACAAAGTTCATATAAGACTATCTGTCCCCCTAAAAACCTTTCCATGTTGGTGGACACACGCCATATACAGGAGGACCAGCCATCTCTCAGGGACTCTCAGACACAACCCATTCTAAGAGGTCTATCCTTGTGCCCAGGGTGGACTTCTGCTAAAGTCACTGACATCTTCTGGACTTCACACCCATAGGCTTTTGAGATGATAACGGTGCTCTAGGCCTTGTGCCAAAACCGAGGTCTTTTGCCTCCTCCAGTCCTTGCAGCTGCTCCTGCAGTATCAGCATGCCCACTCCTACTGAGAAATCAAGCTGCGGAAATCACAGAGCTACCACAGATCAGCTACGTTTGCGTTCAGGCCTGCCTGATACCAAT